TATATATAAAGAGAACATCAAAGTCAACAAACTCATACGTTATTATACACTACTGCTGACTACTTCGTGCAAGGTAAATAACGACACCAGGAAGCGCGTTGAAACAGAAAGGGACCTCTGCCCAACTGTTGCAAATGCGTTCATCACAACCAGACGAAAGGCACACAATGAAACATTACACGCATCGACCACATCTATCTACAGACTTTATAAAATCTTAGCATACATTACACTGACACATATTACATATATAATATAATCAGAAGAATACAGGAACCATCTTTTTAACATGGTTATCAAAATTGTGTTCACGGTGAGTGAATGAGGCGACTAGATAGACAAAACGTCTATGATGAAAAAGTCAGGAAGCTGACGTCACAACGACTTGGCCATGCGAACATCCTGCGTCAACCTGCACCGAACTGACACACAAACAATTAAAGATAGCGATGCCATGCCAATTGTTTGTTTAGGTTGATAGAATACACCGATCGAGCCCAGTAAAAAGTACTTTTGTTTGTTTAATGCACAGTCTTAATATTGCGAATATAACGCAATAGTTTAGACCACTTTATCTTTCTTGCTGTTTATCCGGATCAGGTCGACGGAGAACATGCATCACACCATACCTTTGAAGAACAAAAAATGTCGAAGACATAAAGATAACAGCAATGTCAACAACTACGCCCGAAACATGCCAGTAAGTCTTAAGACACAAACAATTGCAGAAATCAACAAGGGCTTTATCAAGCTCAAGACATACATGTGCACCTTTAAGACATTATAACTAAAGAGGGGCCTCATTATCCAGATGTTACCAACAAAATGCGAATAGTAAATTAGCTTAATATTGTTATTGCTACTCTGTAGTCCTCTCTAAAATCTTAAAGCGCTTTAAAACTCTTCAAGACTTAGGAAGCCTATCCATCTTGTACAAAGTTTGAATAAGGGAATGAAGGTGAGGATTTATGAAATAGGCAGTCGTTAATTTTATGGTTCTTGGCGTCATTGATCAAAGAGCGGCAATAAACAATTTCAGAATGTTTAGTCTTTTCGACCCTTGCACCCTATTTATGAAAACCTTCTCTTTCGTAAAGTGAAGAAAAAAAGCAATGCATTACAAATCTATGAAAACTTTGATTATTACATCATTTGCTTTTAGCTGTTTTTGAGAGATACGGAGGTACAGTTCCAATGTCGTCCACCCCGTCTTTAAACTCATCATTTTAAAATATGTCTTAAAAGTGACCAGCTTGATGCAGCCCCAGGACTTGAGGTGAAACAAAAGTCTACGGAAAAGTACAACATATAGCAGTCTGTGAACCTGGGTTTCCTTTCATGCCGGGAAAACCTAACAGACCCTGCCGGCCCATCTCTCCTTTGGCACCCCTTGGGCCTGATGTGTCGATGCAGTGAAATTGAAAATAGAACATGTTCGGGGCATCAGATCGTGTGCATTGTCAGAAGATAATGATAGGGAGTTATTAACTGTTCTAATGTTTTTAATTTAATTGTAGTTTGAACTGAAAATCTTGTTTTCTCGTATAGCTGGAAAAGCTCAGATCTCTCTTCAGGACGTTTGCATTGGGACACAAGAAGAACGGATAAAAATATTCATAATTCATGAGCACATTTCAACGAACGTACAGCTACCGTAAGAACAAAATAATTTTGCGCTTCTATAAGAGGATATGAGGAGGAGGAGGAGGAGGAGGAGGAGGAGGAGGAGGAGAAACCTATTTTGACCTCTTCTTATTATTTGACCTTTTTAGGTTGGGGAAGGGGAAGGGGTGTAGCGAGATGAACGGTAAACGAATAAAAAAAATTCTGGCATGTTTGTTACAGTCTTTAAGTATTCTTTCACTAGTGCTGGATTCAACTCGACAGAACTTGCCTGGGTAACCATCCTTTCCGTCCTGTCCTGGGGGCCCTCGCACCCCTCTGTCCCCTGAAGGTCCCTTAGGGCCAGAGTATCCTGGGTCCCCTCTGTCTCCTGCGAGGCGGCAAAGGAGGTGAGAAGTCAGTGCTGCGTACGTGGTGTGCTCGGATTACCAAAACATATTTTTTTCAAGTAAAAATGGTCTATTTTGACTCAGTGCCAGATTTTCACAACTGCAAACCCTTCGCAACGAGTGGATTTGACATAGACACTTTCCAAAAAGCAAACGTCATTATTCCCCTTGAGGAAAACGGGCTCCTCATGACCACAGCAACTCCCAATTTCTTCTTTTATAATGTCAAACCCATTGTTTTCAGGAAAACGCTTTTGACAATACTAATCACAAAATTTGAAGCGTCTAAAAGTTGGAATGTTTGGGAGAAAGTACAGTTTTCAAACTTTAAAACAATATGATTATTTCGTTTTCCTAGTGTGATGAATCCTCGTCCACTGCCCTGCTATCAAGCTGTTTATATAAGAAAACCATCATGTTTAAATGAATTTTTTTTAGTGAGCTTAAAAACGACTTCCCGTGTGTTCTGGATATTAAACGATCTATTCTCAGTGTAACTGGCACAGATCACTAAAATACACCGGAATAAAACGTAACTGCTACTATATCATCGGACAAAAGTTGACCCTCATTAAAACATTGTTTCAAGTTACAAGTTCTTAAAAGCGCACGTTAACACAGAGCTCTGGGAGATAGTAAATAATACTTATACGGTGCTAGGATGTGTCTACTGAATATCTCAAATTCTGTAGTAAAATGCATAATAACTGACAAAGAGCAACGCAGATATATTCTTTGAGGCAGTCTTCAGATTATTTATAAAGTGGTATAACGTAGGTAAGACAGCCAGCCAGACAGACAGACAGATAGGCAGACAGACAGACAGATAGACAGACAGACAGACGAACAGACCTGCAAACAGACGGATAAGCGTGCGGAGAGACAGGCGGACAGCAAATAGACTTGCTGTCAGACAGTAAGACAGCTGTGTGTTCAAAGAGTCGACATGCAGAAGAACAGAAATAAACATAAACTAGTAAAAGAGTTGGGTCAAAATACAAACATGGTACCTTTAGGGCCTGGGGCTCCCCTTGCCTGATGCATGCTGGCCAGGTTCATTGCAATGTCAGACTCATTTGGCTGTTCCCCTTTGTCACCTGCGGGTAGTTAGGGTCAGAGTTAACATCTAGGTAGTCAAGATTTTGTCTCTATTTAACATTAGAAAATGCCTACATCAGCGAAAATCAGGTGCTTTACATCTTTATTCAAAGCTTGAACTATAACCTCAGTAGAAGCATGAACTTGAATAAATTAAACCTGGTTTCTTTCGGCTACATTGTATACTTTCTTCTTCTTCTTCTTCTTCTTCTTCTTTTTCTTCTTCTTCTTCTTCTTCTTCTTCTTCTTCTTCTTCTTCTTCTTCTTCTTCAAGTAGTCAAGTAAAACTGATGCCAAATAATGACATAAACAGTGTACATCATTAGCTTTAAAAGGCAATATCTCTCAGAGTCCCTGTACTTTCTAACATGTTATGCATATTGGAAAAAACTCAATAAAACAAAGGAAAGGAATATGAGTCGAAGGGGGTTGGGGAAGGAGGGGAGGGGGGTTGCTTAAAAGAGAGACAAAAAGAAGAATAAAAATGTAAAGTAGTGATAAATCTGCTCATACCTTTATCGCCTGTGTCTCCTTTCTCTCCCGGTGCACCTGGTTGGCCTGTAAAAGGTTTCATTTTAAAGTCTAAGTTCTTCCGGAATTCAGTTTTAAACAATGTTCGTGTTCTTTAATTAATAAAACATGATTATTTTCTCAGTGTTGAGAAGAAGAAGAAGAAGAAGAAGAAGAAGAAGAAGAAGAAGAAGAAGAAGAAGAAAAATAAACAATAAAATAGAATAATAATACTAATAATAATAATAATAATAATAATAATAATAATAATAATAATAATAATAATAATAATAATAATAATAATAAGAAGAAGAAGAAGAAGGAGAAAAAGAAGAAGAAGAAGAAGAAGAAGAAAAAGAAGAACGTTGTGTGTGTATGTGTGTGTATGTGTGTGTGTGTGTGTGTGTGTGTGTGTGTGTGTGTGTGTGTGTGTGTGAGAGAGAGTGTGTGTGTGTGTGTGTGCGTGCGTGCGTGCGTGCGTGTGTAGCTAGAGAGAGAGAGAGAGAGAGAGAGAGAGAGAGAGAGAGAGAGAGCGAAAGAGAGAGAGAGAAAGAGAGTGAGAAAGAGAGAGAGAGAGAAAGAGAGAGAGAGAAAGAGAGAAAGAGAGAGAGAAAGAGAGAAAGATAGAGAAAGAGAGAAAGAGAGAGAGAGAGAGAGAGAGAGAGAGAGAGAGAGAGAGAGAGAGAGAGAGAGAGAGAGAGAGAGGGAAAGAGAAAGAGAGAAAGAGAGAAAGAGATGCCATGGTGTCCGTGTCTTTTCAACATTCTCACTCCCCTGACCAAGCGTCTCTGACCCTGAACCCCAAATAGACTTTCATCTTCTAATTCCACAAAATCTTCACCATCGAGTACATTCACGGGGCCGAACTCAGTACAGCAATTATGCACCTCAACCAAAGTAAGCCTGGAAAATTGAACTTATGTTAAAAGTGCAAAGAAAGTCAAAGACCATGACTGTGTACAAAGTAGAGAAAATCTTCTCCGAAGAAGCTTTCTCTATAGATTACTGATAACAGTACCACACCACCTCTTTAACTGCCCAGCACTTTGTGACCTGCGTAGCACCTACCTACCTGCCTCCCCAGACATCGGAAACACTCTATACAGCGACAAAGCACAGCTGATTAAAACCTGTCAATTTTTTGCCATATCGACAGACCGAAGGGCTAGAACCCAAATGGCCGCTGGATCGGAAAAGTAAAGTGAAAGTAAAAGTAAAGTATAGATAATATAGACTTGCAAAACGTTTGCTCTTATTTTACCTAACCTTACCAGATTTGTCTTGCTTTATACCACATAACTATTCTTGTAACATGGTATTTGTTTATGCTTTATCCTTTACCTTGTCATAGCTATAAATACCCATAAAATAGAAATGGTATGTGTTGAATATACTAAATTGTTTTATACCAATTTGTGACCAATAACGGGGGATTTAAGTTACAATGTAAGCACCATGCCATCATTTGGAAGAAGATGTAGACTTTAAAAATGCCGACAAGGAAGCAAATAGTTAACGTTATGATGGTTTATAGTAACCTAAACTCACCTGCAGGACCCTGAGCAGCGCAATAAAGCCTCGCTTCCTTACAATAACTCTTCAGGGCTACGATCTGAGGAAGCCAGATAATATAGCTATATTTATTTCAAAGATATTTCAACAAATTTAATACGCACGAAGAAATGCATGTTGTAAGGTATGATAGATTTGTATAATAGGAGGAATGAATATAATCCATATGCTGAATCAATAACAATTTTATGGTTGTTGAATTTAGCCAACACGTGCCACCTGTGAGAGAAAAATACGATATTAGATTGTAATCATTCGTTTTGTTTTAGGTCTGCAGTTCAAATACATGAATGTTATTTCTCTCTAAGTTATTTATTCCGATTCATTCTTTTACACCATAAATAATTACATGTATAATGTTTTTGCTTCAGTTTCCATTACTATTTTCCGTAGGAGAGGCAAATGGTTTGCTGTATGGTATTTAAATCAGTGTGCTGTTTCTGCTCCCCCCCCCTCCTTCCCTTCACGTTTGGTTCAAGTTACATTCTTCTTCACAGAAACTGCTGTGCCAAATTTCTCGCCATCTTAAAAAATATGTCCAGAAGATGGTATGACTCTTTTAAGACAACGTTAACACTCACAAGACCGCCAGTAGGTTGATAATTATATAAAGGCACACATTTGTCTTTCGGGACATTTCTGACGGAGAAATAGACATTCTGTTGCAAGTTTATTCTTGGTTGGTTGACTGCTTTTCTTTTGATACCTTTTTAGATTCAGCAGATGCCCTGACAAGTAACAATTGTGAGAAGAAGGAGAAGAAGAAGAAGAAGAAGAAGAAGAAGAAGAAGAAGAAGAAGAAGAAGAAGAAAAAGAAGAAGAAGAAGAAGAAGAAGAAGACCACCACCAATACCACAGACTGAACTATGCCATCATCACCATCATTATTGTAAATACAATAAGAAAAAACAACAACAGTAGGTGGAGATTTAAGCGTTTGTAATTTTACAACATTATGAAATCATCACCATCATAATCTTCATCGTTATCATTATTAACAACACAACAAATACGAAAACAACAACTACAACAACAACACCACCAACAACAACAATAACAACAACAACGACAACAACAACCACTAAGTCAACAACAACATTACTGCAATAACAATTGCAACAACAATTCGGCATTAAGGAACATCCATAAAACGTTTAGTCCACAAGCAATTCTCCCACAGTGAAAGGAAACAGGGCTCCTGTGTTCTTGGGATATCATATATATTATACTGAAACTTACTTATACAAAGTTGGGTGGAATTTCTTGTGTAGGACTGAGGAATTCAAAAATCTTTACAGAACAATTTTCAAGTATAAGAGGCTAAATAGAGGAGGATCGACCTTCAAGCCAACAACTCGAGAAGGAAACGAGAGTCAAGTTTAAAACCTACTAGACAATTGGTGTATGCCAAGGCATATTCGGAAAGAGAGAGTGCTATGACAAGCAGTGGATATCCGTAGGAAGGGACAGAAACAAATATACAGCTACAGAACAGGCCCAACAAAATCACTCTCGAACTATGATTGATAAAGATTTGGGTAAGGAAGCAGAGGCCACGTCAGTGTGACACAGTTGTATACAGATGTATTCTATACAGACCGGGTTGGACCTGAAAGGAGGCTCGAGGCAGCCCACCTTCTAGATTATCCCAATCATGTCAATTAGGGAGCAGAACATTGTCAACAAATTGTTGCGAACACACACAGACAGTTGGAGGGGTGTACATAATATGTAACTGGTGACGAACAAGGACTGAGAAGTCTTAAAGAGAATTGGTCCCCGGCAAGCTATTTAAAAATAAAAAATGACCCAAGCTTTAAAAAAAAATCCAGTTGTCCGATATAAAAATTGAGAAGATCATCCAAAGATGGTAAAGCCATTATTACAACTTGTACGTATACTATTCCCTTGGACTAGTACATTCCCTAGTGTAACCCTGACGGCTAATCAAACTTTAGATCAAACTGTTTTACAAGATATCTCTTGATATCTGTTACGTAGGTCCTCACTCTGCAACCCCATAAACTATGTTTGAGATAATTATTTAATCCTCATAATCTGAAATGATGCAGCTAAAAACACGGATGAGTTCTGTTCTATTACACAAGTGAAGTAGTTATGGTGGGAAACTTACAACTCTTTGGAGACACTAACGGTACCTTATAAAAGCAAGCGGGCGATTATTTTTACCACTTTCATTAGAGGAATGTGTGGTATAAAGAATGTCATAAACTTTGTTTCGCCTTGTTTCCCTCCATCAACAATTATATTGTGGTTTTCTTTTCTTTCTTTTTTTCTCTCTTTACAATTTCAAGGTGGAACAGTGCGGGGAAAAACAGCCATAGATTTCACAACATTTATTGGGAACACTAACAGAGGTCCGATAACAGGAATATTGTCGAAGGCTCAGACTAATGGTTCATTGGGTGTCAACAACGACTGTTAATATATCTACATCTAATTCTCACCATTTCTTCATGTGGCCGCTGGAAGGGCTTTGTTAGTAAGAACAAAAAGAAACCGGTACAAATACGGTAATGTTTTACAAGGATTAAAGATAAAACATGTATATTGCTCACAAGAAAAGGCTACATGTAAAGAGCGAAATAGAGTGCTTGAAACATTATAGACTAGCAAGCGAGCTAGTAAAGCTCAAAACTGCAAGAAACACGTAGACAACATCAATGACCTAGGAAAGGAAAACAACCAAAACGCCATCGAGTTGTTATGTACAATAACGCCAGACTAAGCAGGGTAGCCACTATGTCGACTAGTCGGATCTGTTTGATTTAATAAAGGCGGACAATACGACTTCAACTGTCAAGCATATACATTTCAAACGAATTTCAGGAAAAGAATGAATGTCAAATATGCTCACATTCTTATAACCCTTAGAACCTCTCCCCCTCCACCTCCCCCCCCCCCCCCTAGGAATTTCCGAGATTTTTCTCTTTGACCAAAACAAAACTACCCTGTTCGCTACGAGAGGCGTGTGCCGAGAAATCCTAATCTCTCTGTTCAGAAGAATAGTTATTTAAACGCTTAAGTAGTCTCATATGAATGTTATAGGTTTTTAGGCATCCACTCCATCTCCCCCCCCCCCACTCCAAGCGCAATGGAATTTAATGTACCAGAACGTAACCTGTCTTGAAAATTATCTCTCTACGCGTTCAAGAACAATGAACAAAAAACCCAAACACTCATGGTTCTGGGATCGAATTGGTTGTTTTTAAGACGATTAGATATAATTCTTTATAACCGACATAAAATATTTCAGTTAAGTAAAATCGAATAAGTGTCTACCCACGAAAAATCAAAATCTGTTTAAGACTGCTAGGAGCAAATTAATATCCACAGTGTTGTTATTGCCAAGAAAAGCTTAGTTAAGTAACCGGATGCATTTACCAGTTTTACTGATGGATATGGTGTCAGCTAAAATAAAATGAAATAAAAAATGGCAATTATGATACTTAAAGATGGTATAACGTGGCTTGTGTTCATTGAAACGTTCATACTACTCATGGCAACATAAACTGTTCACCAAACTGAAAAGTCTTCCTAACTTTCTGATTTGTGTCCTTCGCTGAAACATTTCTGTTGCTGCTGCTGTTGCTAATGATGATGATGATGATGATGATGATGATGATGATGATGATGATGATGATGATGGTGGTGGTGGTGGTGGTGGTGGTGGCGGTGGCGCTGTGGTAATGGTAAATATAGTGGTAGTGGTGGTGTTAGCCATTGCTGCTGCTGTTGTTGCGGAACGATAATGATGATGACGTTGATGAGAGTAAGGATGATCGTGATGGTGATGGGAGCAAAGAAAGCAAAGAACTTTCAAGAAAAATGAGACTAAACAGAATATACAAAAATAGGCCTACACGCTGAAAACAATGAAATTGCCAGGCAAACTTTAAAGCAAACAAAGTGTTCATTATAACAATAAACGTATACAAATACCTGTACTCACACCTCAATGGCACAAACACACATACAAACACACACACACACACACACACACACACACACACACACACACAGACACACGCACTCTCTCTCTCTCTCTCTCTCTCTCTATTTCTCTCTATCATACACACACACAAACGCACGCACACACACGTATGCACACACACACACACACACACACACACACACACATACACACACACACACACACACAACACACACACACACACAAACACATACAAATGGAGAAACTAAAAAGAAAAGAAATACATTTGGTTAAAATACACATTCAACAACACTGATCCATGATCGAAACTATATATATATATGAACTAACCCGAGAAAATTAAACAATGAAATTAGACAACCGACCACACATTCTGACTGAAAAAAAGAAGATGATGGTCTTAGTTATTATAGGTTGTTTTAGAAATGGTCATAGTTTTATACATGGAGAACTTACCCTTTCCTCGGGAGAGCGCTGAGTGAGTGCATTAAGAGACAAAAGATGAAAGAGAATATTTTTAGGATCATGTCATACTTTTAGGAGTGCGTGCATCAGTATGTATCTACGAGTGCTTGCGTGTGAGGGGTGGAGAGGGTACCTGCACCCATGTGTGTGTGTGTGTGTGTGTGTGTGTGTGTGTGTGTGTGTGTGTGTGTGTGTGTGTGTGTGAGAGAGAGAGAGAGAGAGAGAGAGAGAGAGAGAGAGAGAGAGAGAGAGAGAGACAGACAGACAGACAGACAGACAGACAGACAGACAGACAGAGAGAGAGAAAGAGAGAGAGAGAGAGAGAGAGAGAGAGAGAGAGAGAGAGAGAGACAGACAGACAGACAGACAGACAGACAGACAGACAGACAGACAGACAGACAGACAGGCAGAGAGAGAGAGAGAGAGAGAGAGAGAGAGAGAGAGAGAGAGAGAGAGAGAGAGAGAGAGAGAGAGAGAGAGAGAGAGAGACAACGAAGGGGAATAATATGTTAAACCCTAACTTTTATTAGAACGAATCAAGATATTTCAAAGGCAGGACATAAAATGCAGACGGGCAGTCTCAGTTTTACACTCAGTTACCAGGCACGATTGCAGGACATTGGGTTTCTACTTGTTCTCCAACTGTTCCGAATTTCCTCTTGTTCAGGAGTAACAGAAATCGAGCAATCGTAATTGACCATTTTTATGAGACAGTGTGTATTGTTTCTTTTTATGCCTTTTGCTTTATATTCATACTGGTTTGATGCTGGCTCTCGTACTTTTGAAGCGTCCTTCCAACCTAAAGCACAATACTGTTTCATTATATTCTGATAGAGCTTGTTATCGTTATTCTATTTTAGTATCACCCCTACCCATTAGTAGGCTGTAAAATAGGTTTTCTAATTGTTTGCAACCACAATCCAAAGCAATGTAAAGACCTCTTTAAAAACATAACCTTTTTAATTAACACCCATGTGGCGTAAGGTGGACGAAAGGTGCAGTTTTATCCATAAAAGATTTAATGTACGATATTAAATTTCAGCTAAAGAATCCTCTTCTTTGACGAATTGGTGAATTTTGTGAAGGAAAAAGTAACGAGAAAATAAGTCTACTAGTCTTTAACAGTCTGTGTTGACTCTCATTTCTCTCACATTTCGTATGATACTCGGCACGTTGGCTTTTTAAAGTTAAGTGAGCATACTTGACAGTGCACCATCTCAACGTTTCTTTTAAGCATCAGTATCACGCACATTACCCTCTTCCCCTCTTCCTCATCAGACGTTGTCCCCTTCCCTTTGGTATTCGTTCTTATTGCCTCCCTCTGGCATGCTTTTTACGTCCCCTCTTTTTACTTTATAGCTCCTCTTCTCTCATCTTTAACTCTCTCTCTCTCTTTCTCTCTCTCTCACTCTCCCTGTCGGCAATTATTTCTTCTTTCTCAATCTCTCCATCACACTCTCTATCAGCCCATCCTCCCTCCCCCATCGACTTGTTCTTTTCATCTCTCTCTCACACTCCCTCCCCCCCCTTCTCTCTCTCTCTCTCTCTCTCTCTCTCTCTCTCTCTCTCTCTCCAAAAACAAAGAGAATTACTCGCGTAAGAAGATAACCAGCAAGACCTTTCTCTTTCCCCAAACGCATGCGTGTACATAAACATAGCACGCAAAGGCATGCATACGTTCATCAAAAGAGGAGACACGCGACAAAATACAAGTGAGGAGTCTCAGCGTGCCAAGTTTGACCTATGTAACAACTTTCAAGGGATCTGAAGTGCTGGCCAAGTTGCCGGATATCCGGCTAAAGGCCACTTTCATGGAAGACTTACGGCTTGGGTCATGCGGAGATCGATTGGTTTTGAACGAATTCACTTGACAAAATTTGGCTAGTTTTGTCCGAACTAACTTATTGGCATCTGGGAATACTTTACTCATGTCCCACATCTTTCGAAGCAATAAAGCTCCTGGAGTTCAGTTGACCTAACCTGTTCCTTCGAAGCCCCTAAAGTTCAGTAGACCTAACCTGCTGAAAGTATCTCCAGTTGAGATGGTGAATATGAGGTTACATAAACTGCTACTGCTACTTATGAATTAACGCAAGAAAAAGTCCATGACGCCCGCTACAGGTCAACACACAAAACCCCCCAATCATAATGGTTTATGTCGCATCGTGGTGAAATCAGGCGCTCGTCAAAAAAATGAATCGAAGAAATCGTAATTTGTTCCTCTCGTTGGGTAAATGTGATCACCTTTTAGGCTCAACACGTTTAGGTTGGTTTAAAGAAAAATGTCAGTGTAAATTTTTACTTAGAACCTTCGACCAAAGGCACACAAAATGTAAGTTTTCCAAGGACACTCAGGGCTTTGGAAGTCACCAAACTTTGGTAGTCATATTCTTTCTTGCTAATTTTAGCTCTGATAACAGGCGAACCTCACCTCATTCAATTCACAAATGCTTTGTCTTCTTCAGAACAGATCGATTTTAAAATAATCAAAAGCTAGACAAATTGTGAACGCCCTTTAAGATACAAGTAATGCCATAATGCCGAAAATTGACGAGCGCTTGATTCCACTGAGTCGTGACACGTATTGTAAAAAGTGTATGCTTTAACTGCGCTTAACATAAAATACGATTTTCTGTCACGATTAGACTTTATTTTTCTATCATTGACGTTGGAAAAATACAACAGTTGCAGTCTACAAAGATACCAAGGATATTGCTGTCAGAGATACCCCAGGAGATACCCAGGGGTGTCAAGGCGAAAGTCCCATGAGCAGATCTCACGAGCTGACGACAATCATAGCGTCTGTCAGCAACGATTAATCCGGGGAGACCACACAAGGGGTCCAGATCACGCGATGCGCTCAGCTCCAGGCTGCATTCGAGCAGATCTGTCTCTCCAGATTTAGTAGCCTTCTACTGATTTTGGCTGCCTGAGATACTTCGCTGCCGTAAAATAAACTTACAATTATCCGGTACCTTAGACTGGACACATGCAACTAAATAAATCTTGTCCCATTATGGCCATACAAACATTAATTATTTGGCTGTTTGTTTGTCTGTATGTTTTTTTAAAAAATCTGATGTGATTTGACTTAATAAGGCTGGTTTTCTACGAACGTCATACGGATTTAAGGTTTCGTTTTTACGTTTACGTGTAACTGGTACCCAACTCCAGCTAACATTACCCTCAGTATTTTCGCTTAGCGAAAATTGTGTGCGCTAAATTTTTAAAAATTTGCTGGACACGTATTAAAAAAGCAACAAAGTTTATTGTGTGCAACCTTTGGTAAACTTAGCCTGACTGTAAAAGGAAACCAAATGTGTTTTATTAAATCTTTATAAGAAGTACACAACTAGGGTATATATAAAGAAAGCAGACATTGTATTGGGGATATGATAAGGACTGGAAAGGG